TTTCCTCGGAAAACTCGTCGGTTTAAAGCTCAGATACTATTGTGCTCTTTGCAGAGCTTCCGGCTGTCATTTGCTAGTAAGACTTCATTCATTTTATCTGTACCAGTCTTGCGATTTAAATTTGAAAGAAACTGTAGTAAATTTCGCTGATAGATTTGATGAAAGTTTCTATCTAATTTTCTGCGCAATGCATCTCATATTTTAACAAGACTCGACTTAACGTTCGTCTAGGATCTATTGCCCAGAGCTTGAACCTGTCTTATATCATTAGAGTTTCATTCATATTGTTATGTATAAAAATGAATTGCTGTTCGTTAGTCTCGCTAAAACTCGAAAATGGCTGGACCGATTTGGCTAATTTTAGCCTTGAATTATTAGTGGAAGTCCAGAGAAGGTTTAAAAGGTACATAAATACAAAAATGCTGGGAATTAAATAAAAATAACAATTTTGTTTTTCCTTTGATGTGTCCCCGTCGGACGGATTCATTTTGTTTATTTTAAGTTTATTTTATACAAAAGCTTAGGTCTTTTGTTTATCGATTGAGGCACTACGAAGTCTGCCGGGTCAGCTAGTATTGTTATAAAAATGATTCTAAGGTATCTTCTAGTTTACGGTTGCGATTCTACTTTTCTAATAAAAATATTGTATGTTTTCGAAAAGGATTTTTTTTGTAACATTAAATAGCAGAAGAAACACCATTCAAGACTCCAGATACCTGATCTAATACCACTAAGCTTAAGTCTAATGTTCTTTAGGTTAAAACGTTAGGTAAGAACTTTATGCGGTCATTAAAATTTTAAGTCTCATTCCTTGGTAGATCGTTCCGTCGGATTAAAAGGTGTACAGACGAACTTCTATTTTTATGGTTCAATCTTTGGAAGGGAGAGCATTTTAATTAAAAGCGGCTTATAACAAAACTATGAGGTTAATTTTGGTTCATTCCAAGTAATTTTTGTTGTTTGATTTGAGTACTTAACTCTGAAATACAAATCGTCGCTCAACGTGAAACGCATGGAAATACTAAATGAAATGAATCCTATTATTACTCGTTAAGGCACGCTTCCTGCTAAAGAGGATTCCAGCTTCATACCATTTAATACCGCAACAGTGTCTATGTTCGGTCGTTTCAGATAAATGTCAAATAATGATTCAGTATTAGCACCAAGAGATTATAAAACTTTCAAACTAATTTAATTAATAGCTAACGTAATCACCCTTTGCTATTGTGTTAATACATAAAATAGATCTGGACTCATCGCTAATACTAATTAGCGCTATATTTTAGAAATGGGAAACCGAAATTAATAGCTTCTAAGTTATTTCACGTTCGATATTTGTTTGTACACTACGCCTCGTGGTTACGATAGTTTTATTAAAATTTACTTGGCTTTCAATCGAGTTTTATGTCGGATAAGCTAGACAGCGCTTGAAAAAAAAATTGGTGCATTTGAATTGTAAAAGTATAATGGATCTGTAATAAATTGTTTTGAGTTAATTACATACATATAGTATTTAAAACTGGAATGAGCTCCCACTCCTGGATGCTATAAACACGTTCCTTTGCAAAAAAGATTTGAGAAAAGTATTGGGACTTCAGGACTACTCCAAGGCTTATCTTCTAGAATTTATGTGATCCACAATAAAGTGACTCTCTTCAAAGTTTTCCATAAAGTGGACTGCTGCAAGGTAGTTTGCGGAAAAAAAGCTCTCAAAATAGAACAAAACTCATGTGTGCGAATCAAGATATTTTTAAAATCATATACTACTTAAGCGAAAACTCTGTGTATTCTAAGTGAGGTTCATCCATCAATTTGCCTCCATTTCCTCGTACTGAAGATCCGGAGAGTTCTCGAAACTGGAATGCAACTTTGCCGTTTTGTATTAGTTCTACGCTGTTTACTCTCCGTCGTATGGAGGAGTATTAAATCGAACCGTTATTTATTGAAATCCTTATTTGAAATATCTAAGTATGTATTGCAGCGATTTTTCATCCTTAATGTTTTCGATTTGTTTCATTATTTCTTAAATTAACGTCTTCCTAAATTTGTTCCAATAATTCAACTTTTTATAATTGTATAGACGAACGTAATTATGTGAACGATTTCACGCCACTTCTCAAATTGCCGTAGTCGATTACAACGTGATGATCGCTTAAAACATGAGGTCTGCTTTGCAGCAGCAATAGGCGATGTGATGATAGTACCTACCCGCGCGGCTTTCCTATAAGCCATACCATTAGTAAACTTCAATATTGAAATTTAATTTCAATCAACTTTAATAAGCTGCTTTTTTTTTTGATAAAGAAATTACTAAGAATTTGGTAATGCATAGTAGTGAGGCGTACTATAGTCCATTGCCACAAAAGTCCACGTCATCATTTGTTTGAAGAGATATGCATCTTACAGTAGGCATTATTTTTATTGGCGTAGATGAGCTCGAGGAACGCTTGGTGCTTATCCGATACCGGTGCTTATCGTCATCGCGTGACCGACGCCGCTGGGCTTTTGAATGTTTTTTTTTTGAATAGCGGACAGTGGACGCTACTATGAGATTATTTTAATTTTATTTAATTAACGTAAAGGTAGATTCTTCATGGTACGCCAATCTACTCTAATTTTGAAATTGTAGCTAACGGAATATTATGTCCAACAACGCAGAAGCTAATCCTAGCTTGGGGTCTGTAAGTGAAACATTAAATCATTTGTCTCACGTACTTCTAATCATCTCTTTCTGATTCATCTTTTGAATTTTTCTGATTGACGCAAAAGTCTTCTCGCATGCCTCACAGCTATGATAATTTTTTATATTGATGTCATATACCTATATCTATCTACCTTCAATAACTAAGTTAAATTTCAACACGTCAATAGCTTATATTTTGATTTATTTTTCCATCATTTGTACCACTGTAACCATTTCTAAGTTTGAATGGCGATGCTCATGTTTTTAAATATTATTTTACCTCTAGTTACAAGTGGCACTTAACACAAACGCTTTACTTAACGCTAAGTCGTTCTTCACGTATGAAGAGATTTCGTTAAAAACATACATTTTTAAGAAAACCGGCTTACGCCAACTTTCAATAAATGGATTAAAGTGCTGAACGGCTATAAACCTGAAGAAATATATTAAATTAAAAATCAAAAAAAGATGCTGGTTGTTGGGGCTTACTGTAACTTGCTTGACTAATAAAATTGTGATATAATAATCATTATGTGTAATTATTAATTTATCATCAGTCGTCCACTGCTAGGAACAGGCCTCTCCCAATTTACGTCACTGTTCCCTCTCTCCTCGTTCATTTCTGGCTGGCCACCCTTCGCAAGTCATCACACCACCTAGTTGGGGGGCGCCCTACATTACGTTAACCGTAGCGCAGTCTCCACTTAAGAATTTTAATATTAAACTGAGATTAGATGTCAGTTAAAAATGTATATTTAATAATATCTAGATTGTCTAGTGTCTTTGATGTCGGTAATATCCGCTGCAGTGAGCGCATATACCCCAAGGCTTGGTGAACGACGACATTATCACGTTTATCGTACCTAATTGACTTGCTTTGTTATACTGAATCAATTATCTTCACAAAGGACTATCGAACGGCGTTGTCTTGCTTTTATACTCGTGTCTGAAATAAAAATATAGGATTATATTAATGAGATACAAAAATGCTTATAATTATTCTAATTAAAATGAAAATGAATTAAAATATATATTTTCATTTCTGTTTGTAGCGATAGACAGTGACGCTACTGGCTTTTTATGATATCCAGATGAATCTAAATTAATTAGTTCAAAACTGGGATATGTTCCAGCTCTGTTAGACAGTTCGTAATGGTAGTTTTAATATAAAGAATACAAAGTGTGTTTGAAAAGCATTTTTTTAGATTTCATTGTTTGAACGATCAACATAATTTCGCAATTTAAATTACTGACAGACGTACCTATAGGTGGTATTTTTGTGTCGAGATGGGTTTGCTCTGTTGCTATTATATGGCTTTCGTGTAACCTTTTATATGATAGAATTTTCAGTCACGTAATCTACCCAAATAATCTAATACTAATTATCTTATCTCGTCATAGAGATTTATCTTATAAAAGGATAAATTTAAGCGTGTATCCAACTTGATTTTTGAAATCCTTTGGCGCAAGCTTTCGTTCAGACCAATATGTTCGTGATTATTTCAGTTCCTGTTCAATATTGCATTAGTCAACTAGATTTTTATTTGAAGATGTATCGTCGTATTGCGTCAAAACTGTGTACAGTTGTTGTTGGTAGATTACGGAAAATTTTGGCTTAACACCTTGCAAGCAAGTGGTACTTTTATACGCGATAAGCATTAATAAATGAGTATTACACAAAATTTGCGACAGTCCCAGCGAATCGTGACTGGGACTCTAAATTATAGTTCGCAATCGCAGCGTTTAAGAATGTCCTAACCGATATACCTATTTTTGATGTTAAAATTTTTGTAACAGTCCACATGGGTTCTGATGGAAAAGCGGGAATTGGGCAGAACGTCATCTATCGGGTCGGCCAGTAATAAAACTTGATATTAATAATAACATTGAATTAAATTTATGTACGTCGTTGCCTAACGGTCTCGAAGAAGTCACGTTAATTTATCGATATGAAAAATATTAGGCTTAGACTCAATAATGATAAAACGTATGATTTTGACTTATACATACATCAAAATAAGACTTACAAAGTACAATAAAGTTTGCATGTTCGACTTATTAAATAAATCGTCTCTGGTCATGTTGGTATTATCGAACGTGCAAACTGTATCAGAAGTGCAAACTGTGTCAGAATATTTTAAAACAGTAATAATTTTGATGTTCAAAGTAGCACTGTTCTCTCCAGGTCCTTTAAAACGCTTGTTATTTGTCATTTAACGTATCGACAGGCTTGTTGTTCGAATATAACTAAGTTACTTTTAGAAAAAATGTAGATTGAAAATGAAAATTATTAATAATGTTTATTTTCTTTCCACAGTCAGCCCGGACTCGTACCGCAATGGAGAAGGTGAGCCCGTTTCGAAAAAGTATGGTTAGTGATTGTTTTTTTGATTTTCATCATGCGTTCACAACTTATCTCCCAAACGAACATCGCTCGTCATTCTAAAGGTTAATCTAGAAACAGCAATTCATTATTGAGTAGTTGATCGTTTTTTGTCGAATTTTTTGTTTTAAGGTAGTCGACTTTTACCAATAAGGAATACTTTCACCGTTTTTGTGCCTTACTTATAGCGCTAACAACTTACCAACAGTACTTCAAGAGTGCTTTATGTTGCAAAAAAAACTCTCCTTGTCGAACTCGACGGTCACGACGAGCGAGTTAAACGAGCGAGCTAACCTATAGACACTGAGTTTCTTGCCGGATCGTCTCAGTGGGTGGCGATTCCGATACGGTGGTAGATTCTGCAAAGAAACTACCCTTGCGAGGGCTAGTGTTAGCAAATTCTCTTAGGCTGAGCCCGTGAGCTCACCTACTCGTCCAGACGTAGCTGGAATAACCTCTTAGGCTACCAGCGAATAGGTAGAGAAAAAAAACAAACGTTCTTATTTTAAAATATGTACTACGCGGTGACTAAATTGAGAAATAATAAAAAAAAAAACATTGCACTTTCCGCTGCTGAAACCCAAAGACAAAAAAATGTATTTATCGGTTGTATTATATCACAGCCGTAGTTCAACCATAGTCTTTGCGGTCTTGTCGGATTAAAAAATAATCTCTTTTCGACTCGAGTATCATTTTATACGTTTTAAGTACTACCTGTTGCCTCCGAGACAGTACATTTGCAAATTAATAATCTGCTTAAGGTATAAATTACAATCCAAAAAGCTTTTTTTTGAACTTTAAGAAAAATTCTCTGACTTCGTTTTTTGTACTATCTCAAGATCCAAGATAGTAAATAATTTTATTTTTGCAGGCCCAACGAGAGGGGAAAGAGCAGAAGATCGGCACTCTGACAGGGATAGCCCAGGAGCAGCAGCCTGTCCTTTGAGAGTAAATAAAAAACGAAAAACGCAAAGCACATCGGAAGAAGAACCAATATTATGTCCGAAAACGGCTATCGAAATTTCAGAAGGAAGTACAGTACACCAATCGCCACAGTTATCTGACGACGCCGTTCTGGAAGGAGATGAAGTCAATCGGCAGGTGGCTTCTGTTGAGGGCATGAAAACAGAATGCAAACGAGAAACAGCACCTCGTACAAAAGAAATTACAGGTGTCCGCTCGAAAGGAGAAACAGCTTCCACTACAGAAATAGCATCTGGAATCTCAGCTAACTTAGAAATTTGTATTCCTTCGAAATTCCACGCGGATGGTGTTTTAGAAGAGGAAAAATCTCCCACTCTGGTAGTGAAAACGATTTGTAATCCAAAGGATGAAACAACTCTCTATTCGAAAGTAGCTTCTAAGAGTGCAATAAGTCTTCCAACGAAAGAGATCACTGGTGGCTCTTTGAAAAGAGAAAAAACTGCTCCTCCAGAACCAGGGACTACATCGAGTTCAAAGGGCGATACAATTTCTCCTCCAAAAAAATCCACTGGAGCCATTCCAAAGAGAGTGACCTCTATCCCTCTAAAACCACCAAGAATTTCTGCGCCAAAAAGCGAGTCAGCTCCCGCTACAGAAGAGGCCATTATAGCCACTGTGGAGGAAGAAACTGTTTTTACCGTTCAAAAAAGCACTGGAGCCATCCCGAAGAAAGAACCAACATTTCTTCCCCAAGCGGCAACAGTTCCAACTCCAAAGGGAAGACCAGATCTCGTTTCGAAACTACCCACAGCTTCCGTTTCGAAAAGAGAAACAGGCAGTCACCAAAAAGTGATTAAAACTTCCTCTTCAAAGGGAAAATTAGCTTCTCCTCGGAAATTGGTAACAGTCTCCACACCAAAGGATGAAACAGATATACATTCGGAAGTGGCCACAATCTCCACATATGAGGAAGAAACGCTTCCGTCCCTTAAAAAACCTACGGGAGCCATACCCAAGGAAGTAAAATCAGCCTCTTTGAAAAAACCAACTGGAGCCATTCCAAAGGGAGACACTGGGATCATCCGGAAGAGAGAAGCACCTCCACTTCCACCGAGAAGGGCTATTTCTAAACCAACACCGGAAATCCCCCCGAAACCCGCTGTCACAATTCCGGAAGAGAAAGTTGGTCTTATCCCGAAACACTCAGGAGCGATACCGAGGAGAAAAACCACTCTTCCTCCTAAGACCGTGGAAGAGACGACAGCTACGGTTTCGGACTCAGCAACTGCAGCCTCTTCGAAAGAAACTACTATCGAAAAAGAGGGAGAAGCTGCTGAGAAGACCGCAGCTGATGATACTCCGAAAAAAGACGGTAAGAATCTTATTTAAAAAATTTAATTGAACTTGAATATAGGTCATGAATTTTCTTTAAGATGATCAATGAGCCGTGTAGTCCTTGGATTGAATGTTTTAATACATCCTTGTTCGTTGTTTATATCTTTGTTTCGAGTTAAATTAAGTGAAAATGTATAAAAATGCCTCTTTACAATTCTCTCTTCGTAGTATACACACACATATATATGGTTGTATTGCATAAAAGAGATTTCTTGGTGTCTCTGTGCCACTAAATTAGTGTTCAAATATAATATTCCTAGCCTCAGTCGTTTCTGGATTTACTTAGATAAATTTAATATGTTGTAAATAGCCTATAAACGTTTTTACGAGTACTATCAGACCTAGTTTTTTTGCAGTGATACATCTCATCGAAACATTTAGCATTTGATGTTTTATTCGAAATCTGATTGGTTTTTAAAAATTAAATACTCTAAATTTCGTTGCACATTGATTGGCCTCTCATGGTAATACCGATACTGTAAACAATACAGTACTCATAAACCACTGAGCTGCGAAATGCAGTCTTTGTAGTTTGTGGATGAACTCGCCGGACATGGCTATCTCGGTGGCGATTCCGGGTCTTGGCTCTTCGTTTCTTGACATCGTCATCACAACAGAACATGAGGAAACACGGCACCCTCACGCATATTGTACCACTCCCGCTTCGGTTAACTGCGGCTCGTAATGTCATATGTCTTACGCTAGATGTGGTACACAAACAATAGCTTAGTATAATTTTTTTATAGATTTGTTTTAACAACTTACTAGCATCAAAATAAAAAAAAAAACTTCGTAATAAAGAATAGTGTAATTTTAGTTACAATAAACCGCTATCAAATAATTCACATTGAATTTCTCTTTGCAATGCTAACGTTAAAACTAATTGTGAATAGCACAAAAGCCACTGAAAACTAAAACGGTGTTACTGATTTTGGAGAACGAATAGAGTATGAATTGAACAACAAAATGTTTAACTTTAAATATACAGTTGATTAGGTTTCGGAAGCCAACGTTATGAAAGCGAAAGTTAAATTGATCAAATGTTAATTTCCTTCAGTTATACGTTGAAAAGTTTACCACGAGAGTTTCGAAGGACTCGCAATTACGGCTATTCATCTATGTTGGACCTTATGAATTTTCACAAAGGCTTTACTAAGCCACATGTCCTCGCAGCTCGCGCAGAACAATAGTTGTTGTTAATAGAAGGTTGACGGGTACGTGTGCAAGGATTCCATACGAAAATTCATGAGATAACTATTATCTTATACCTTTAACCGAGCAATTCTGGTATATATATAATTTGAATCTCGGAAACAGCTCCAACGGTTTTCATAAAATTTAGTATACAGGGGATTTCGGGGGCGATAAATCGATCTAGCTACGATTTATTTTCAGAAAATGTTGTTTTATTCGTGTTTTCAATAATCAACTTTATGACTCTTCCCGACATCTTTTGACGAATAATAATAATACTATTTTTCTGAATTGAGAGCAACTAACTGCTTTAAAGACACAACAAGATGGCGTCATAAAAAAAAATTCATCTAGTATCATCTAGTTTAATATAATGATAAGATACAAAAAAAGACGAATATTCAAAATAGACGGAAAACTGATTTAAACCAATGCACATTTCCGATTTAATTACTTTGAAAACTTATTACGTTTAGCTTGCAACAAACAGCGAGTTTTGCCGCGGGGCTTTTAATTATACGATCGCTGTTTGACTATCGGAGCGACACATCCGTAGTTGTTAGTCGATGCAACCCAGTTTGAGTAAATACGCATGCATACATACAGTACAGTGCGGTACAGTAAGGGCTTAATTCAACGTACATGAATTAGTTGTCCAATAGTCAATGTTATTGTCACTTTTCGACTGCCAACCCATCAACATTCAACATTTGCCTTTTTAATGAACACCAGAGGTCCCGCAGTAGTCTAAATTCGACTATAATTAATTGGAATTGTAAGTTTGTACACTATTATGATTGTATTTTATACTTCTATAATCACAAATTTCGCCAAGGCTACTCTATAAAAAAATATTAATAAAGAAAAACAATACTTAATCTATTCTCAATTTGACCACAGACGTCAAGAACAAAAGTTTGACAATAAATAGTATGCATGCGTGTGTGCGTCAAATACATGGTATGTAGTGTGTGTAATGTTTTCTTTATGGATTTAATGTATCTTTTATGCATTATTTTAAAAAAAATATTTGCATTTTACACTTATTCACTATATTCTCTATAAGTGTGGAAAATTTCATACTCCCTCGTCCGCGCAATTTTCGTAAAAAGGGATACAAAGTTTTTGCTTCACGTATTAATATATGGACATAATTAAATATCGAAAGCGTTCGCTATTTTTTAAATTCGACCAACGCTTCGTTGACTATCTATTTAGGTACCTTCGATTTTTATATTGAAGTTGTAGTTATTTTTTGTAAAGCCATGCCCTGCATAGTATTTTTTGAAGCGTTTCATTGTGCGCGTGTGTTTTTTTATTTGTATATTAAATTCTGTAGCGATGTAGAGTTATTTTTGAAAATACTAAATGTATAGCGTCGTAATTTTCGTTTACATAAATTTAAACAGTTTCCTTCCGTTCTGAATTTAAATATTAATTTGAGTTTGTCGACTACAGAACAAAACACATTGTTTTGCGTAAAACGTGCCGTTTAAACCAATTACTAGACGGAACATTAATCAATTAGTCTTTGTAATAGTCTGACATGTATTTTCGAGCCAATACGACTGACTGTATGACGAACCTAGCTGTGGGTTAATTGCACTTTGGTTTTCATATTAAATACATATGCCTAACTTTATTTGTTGTTATTTTTCTAGAGTATACCGACCGATATTCCAAAGAACTTTGTAAATTCTATTGAAAAGAGTTGCGGTCGTTCAATTATAAACGGTGTGATAGACATGACAACTGCTTTCTTTATATGCATTTGCATTTTTTTCTTCCGGCAGCTTTTTAATTTAATATGTATCTTACTGGTGGTAGGACCTCTTGTGAGTCCGCACGGGTAGTTTTGATGTCGTTGTAATGAAAAACGTTGATTGTCATCTGACGCGAGAGCCCAAAGGCTTAGCGTGATAAATCTTCTACACTTTACATTGCTAGTCCGTGCATTATGAACTTTCTAACATATATTACTGGTGGTAAGATCTCTTGTGAGTCCGCACGGGTAGGTACCACCACCCTGCCTATTTCTGCCGTGAAACAGTAATGCGCTTCGGCTTGAAGGGTGGGGCAGCCATTGTAACTATACTGAGACCTTAGAACTTATATCTCAAGGTGGGTGGCGCATTTATGTTGTAGATGTCTATGGGCTCCAGTAACCACTTAACACCAGGTGGGCGTGAGCTCGTCCACCCACCTAAGCAATTTTTTTTTTAAATATATGTTATATTCAAAAAATATAATATGTTAAATTTTGTGCGTATACAAACAGGTAGGGCCGACATATATTAATAACGGTTGATGGGTAAACAAAATGTAACTACACGTGAAAATACATTTTCGAAAATATCAGACTTGACGTATCCTGTCTGATGTATGAATATGCAAATTGAGTGCAGCAACGCGTTTTAAATGTATTGATTTTTACTTCGGAAGTATTATTCGCTGTTAGTTTAATTTAAGAGGATATTTTGCATGTGAATTTTGTTCTCTGATAAGGTGTTATAAGTAGGCAAATGTTTTGTCTAAGAACAAATTATTACGAAGGTACTATGTTGTAAATATTGGAGTACTATTATATACCAACTAGCTGTACGCTTCGCTGGGCATTTAAAATTAACATTATTATTTCTCACCCCCACAAAGATTCTTATCATTAACGCCCCTGAAACTGGTGTAGGGAGTCCAAAACTCATATAAATATTAGCCTATCCATTAAGTACATGTATTTTCTACATGGATACCAAATTTCAAGTCAATCAGATGCACGGTTCAGTAATTATAACGGAACATCCGTAAATACCACTATAGCTTTATATATCTATATATTAATACGTGAAGCAAAAACTTTGTATCCCTTTTTACGAAAATTGCGCGGTCGGAGGAGTATGAAATTTTCTACACCTATAGAGTATATAGAGAAGAAGTGCATAATGCTAATATTTTTTTTAAATAATGCATAAAAGATACATTAAATCAATAAAAAAAACATTACACACACTACATACCATGTATTTGATGCACGCACACATGCATACTATTTATTGTCAAACTTTTGTTCTTGACGTCTGTTGTCAAATTGATAATAGATTAAATGTTGTTTGTCTTTGTTAATATTTTTATAGTTTAGTGTAGTCTTGGCGAAATTTGTGATTACATAGGTACAAAATACAATCATAATAGTGTACAAACTTACAATTCCAATTAATTATACTCGAATTTCGACTACTGCGGGGCCACTAGTTAGTATAGATATAAGAATTTACGATACCAACAATTTTATTTTTGCAAATACCGGTTGCTTCTTTGCAGCCAAATGTGTTGTTGATTTTTAGAGATGAATGACGTCATTCAAGTATAAACAATAAGAATGTGTCTTGAACCGTAATAATTTAAAGTACACACATCGCTTACAATCGCGACCTTAAGGGTTCAAAGCGAGTCGTTCTCACGAGCGCCGGTTAGTAAACAAATAAATTGTTGTTATTCATATTACAAAGAGAGGTAACGAGAGGCAGACCTTATTGCTAGTTGTGAGTTCTATTTATAGTGCGCGGTCGTATCGTTCGCTTATACGAGTAGAATGCGCGTATTAATTCGAACAAAACATTGTTTTAATTTATTAGTAATTCGACAGTCAAAGATTTTAATTACGAATCTCAAGACCAAATATTATTTCCGGGCTTAGTCCGTCAAAATTATTGAAGTTATCATCATTCAAAATGTTCCTCGAAGCCTCATATGCGTATAAATTATACTAAGTTATCAAAACATTTTGTAATCCTATTACTTCACAAGTATTGATTATATTTTTGAAAAAAAATTTTTTTTTATCTATACTTATAAAAAAATGGAGTGTCTGTTTGTAATATTGAAATAACCGTTTTTCACTACATCCATATGAATATATATACGGTACATACACCAAAATAACATTTTTTACAAATTTTTGTCTCTCTGCCTCTTTGTCTGTCTGTCTGTCTGTTCCGGCTAATCTCTGGGACGGCTGGACCGATGTTGATGAGTCTCACTGATAGGGTAGTGATGATATAAGGAGTAACTTAGGCTACTTTTTTTAGACTAGCTTCGCCCCGCGGCGTCACCCGCGGTACGACAATAACCGCGGGCAACATCTCGGGACTCAGCTATCAATATTAAAATTTAATGTTTCTAAAGCGAAGCGATGGCGGGTTTCTAGTTGCTTATAAGGGCGGACGAGTTCAGGGCCCATCTCGTGTTCAGTGTTTGCCCGAGCCCATAAACATTAACGACGTATTTGCTGCTGCCACCTTGACATATCAGTTCTAAGTCAGTCCGTCAGTCAGTCATTCAGTTTTACAGTACAATTGCTGCCGTACCCTTCAAACCGTAACGCATTACTGCTTGGCAGCACAAATATAGATAAATCGAATAATGATTATTTCAACATCAAAATAAATAATTAAATTTACCTAATTTGTATTGTATTCCGACCGCTCTTATAAGTATATGTATATATAAAACAGACATCTCCAACAATATAGATAATCTCGGTATTTAAATCAGTAAACTTAAACTGAATATTGTTTGCTCTTGCTATGAATTTCTCCTTTATTTCTTTTTTAGAACAACGTCAAGTATGTCAGGTACACTTAAAAACATTTTTATAAAACATCGATATAAATATAACTAACTACTTGAGTGCGTAGTCGTCGCAAACAATGTTCTCGCAGGCAATGTTCTTAAAAATTACAAAATCTTGGGATTCCGGCGAAATTATATTATCACTTGAGTTATTACGCCTTATCGATCTTACTGGTCCATTTAAATTTTGAGTTTACGTTTTAAAACAAGAGAAGGTTCTGCCTCTTCTGCTATACTAAAACCACGTTATACCCTCGAGCATAGTTGGGTAATAGGTGCTCTTGATGATAAACTGTATGCATCAATGAAATAGACAGATTTTTTTATATTTTTTTATTTCTTAGATGGGTGGACGAGCTCACAGCCCACCTGGTGTTAAGTGGTTACTGGAGCCCATAGACATCTACAACGTAAATGCGCCACCCACCTTGAGAATAAGTTCTAAGGTCTCAGTATAGTTACAACGGCTGCCCCAACCTTCAAACCGAAATGCATTACTGCTTCACGGCAGAAACAGGCAGGGCGGTGGTACCCACCCGTGCGGACTCATAAGAGATCCTACCATCAGTAAAATATACAGATACATATAATATACTCGTAATTGTTCACGAGGTCAGATATTACGTATCTCGATCATCGCCAAATGAACTACGTAATCTCAGCAGTATATATTTCTATTGAAAATTTGAAGCTTCCGTTGCCCGTCTCTGCTATAACTCCTATTTTATTGCTATGAGCAGATGATCGTGCAACCTATTTATTTATAAGCAATTATCAAGAGGACAAGAGCGTAAATGCTAAAACTTGGGGTCGTAATTGCCTTGTAATAACAACTTTCTTTTACTCCGTAACATTTAGCACGATTGCTTTGCGACAGGAAAATGCAAGTCGGAGTCAAATACCTAACTGGTAAATAGAAATATTTTTCAAATTTGTTAGCTACACGTTTTTTTTTTTCTACAATTTTACTACAATTTGTAAATTACAAACCAATATGAAATCACAACGTCGGTTAGTAGGTATTATCGTAAATTCACAGTCGTTTTTAAACCCGGATCATTCAATGTAACCTAACATTCGTGCCTTGACCCAGTTGAGTAGGTATATGTAACACATAATAAAACACAGAAACAATGTTTTACTGCATTCGCTTTTATTGCTTATAATAATAATAAATTATAATTTAAAGTCTAATATTTGGTAAATATTTGTATTATTCTTGTAACGTTACAAAATAACTGTTAGCGGTTTACTGTAAATAATTTTCTTGAATGTTCTCTTGGCTTTAATAGACAAATCATTTGCTTGCGAAATATTGTTGAAAATTGTGTGTTCCACTAAGAAGTTAAATAAATATTCACTATATTAATTTTATATAATTAAAAAATCGTTTATTAAACATCTCTATTTGGATACATTTTATGCCTATCTTCTTCTGGCCTTACTATATCTTCATTTGTATCTTTCACGTGAAGTTTCGGATTGGACGGTACTTTATTTTATGGTTGCGAGTTAACTTTTACCATTCGGCGGCTTATATAATATACTTGCCTCTAAAATCAATGACTATGTTAATGTATCGCTTATAAATCGATCACATCAGAAAAAATAGCAGACCCTTTGCATTAGGCGGCAATCAAACGTAAAATACTAAATCGAAACATGAATACCTGATTCTAGTGTTTTGCTGTATGATACTAATAACATCGATTTGGCAATTCATTTAATACTACCCATTATATGTATGAGATGACTTATTGTTATTGAATAGATTATGCCATAACTGACATTCGTATTCGAAGTATGCGTTTGAAGTATTATTAACCTGAATTGTTTGAAGATAACATGTAAAAAATTATACATTGTCGTTTAAAGACTATACCATTTTAAATGTCATTTCGAAACGATCTAGTCAGTGAGATCGTAAAATGATTATATTGCGATATAACGGCTTAAGATGTCATTTGCAAAATTTACAAGATATATTGCAAAAGGCACTGTTAATGTTATTAGGTAACGAGATAAAAATGGCTCGACATTGACGTATCGAAGACTGACAGTTGAAAACACTATCGCTTAACGAGTTTTCCAGGATCCAGTAATCGACATGCGAGGCACTCTATGTCATTATATGGTTCGCTTCGTACAAGCTTTTACTGGCTTTTTTATCAACGCTTTTGTAAACAATGTATTTGATAAAAGAGCTCAGTTTTCTGATATACGTTCGCGTTGCGTCGCTATCAGATTTTCGTAAGTGTAAATCGTGTATTGGCGCGTCGAACCCGATGTTGAAATTATAGTTTGCACGGTCGTGGACCGTGTCAGGTCGAGTCGCGCGACGTCTATCACTCATCCCGTGTCGAGGTCTTCCATTAGTTTGCGTCTAAGAGGGATACTGCAATTTAAAGCTGTCCTCGCTGTGAATTACGTTCTATTGAACCTGGTGATTGTTTTATAAACAAATAAAATACGTTCATCAAAATAACAAGCATAAGATGTGACTTCACATCCGGTGCAATTAATAAACAAGTTGTTTTGATTGTGCAGCTAAGAAAACAACAACGTCCAAGCAAAAACGAGCGCCCGATGACCCTATTTTCGTCTATATCGGATGCTGTTCGGACGTCGTTCTACTGGACCCAAAGAAGAGAGAAGAACACTTCATGGGTTACTTGACGATAAGAAAACGTCGGAGAAAATCCCAAGAGCTGAGCTCTATTCGCCGTGAACAGCTGCTTACGGAATATCTGTCTCGTAGCGTATCCGACGTAAGTACATTATACAAAAGATTCACCACGATTTAAAGTTAAGTTCCATAATGCGGAAAGACCGGTGAGCAATTAAAAATTAGAGAAAAAAAAAACTGGTTAATCATTAAACAAGTGATTTAACTGAAGGCTATTTAAGCAGTAGCAATATTTAAAATATCTGTCACAGATATTTAAACGATTCTCCGTCCTCAGACTTTCGCAGAGATCGAACAATCAATCGCGACGATAAACGTTGAAATTCAAATCCATTTCATATAAGGGGACCGAGACGAGCCAACTTGAACGTATAATTTCCTGACACTTGTTGACATGCTCAAACGGAAAATTAGATACACGCTGGCTATTTAGTACGTTTTGTATGCTATATTTAAATGGCGCCGGTACATATTGTCTTTCTCACCATGGTCATTCCGCACTCCGCCGCTATATCAACGCGGTATTGTTTCTCGGCTCCGCCACAAATTCAAATGTCATTTGTTTATATTCATGAGGCATCCACACGCACTATGTATACGTAGGCTAGTTGTGACATATTGTACGATGTTGTTCTGCGTTCCAAGTAGCTCACGCAAGGACGGCGCAACGCGAAACACCAATTAATAAATGCGTTCGAAAAATTAAGCACGTTATCCGACTTGATTAGTCAAAATCATGACAGGCTAGAGTTTATAAGTGCATTATGCCATGTCGCCTGTTATGTTCGCTAACTTGTTATATCCATTTTTGGCGTATCAGGTCACGGGCGAAACAAATGTAACTAGAACGCAGAATGACGGCTACACTATAACACAAACGCTAAGGGGCAACGTACATTTTTCAAATAACACTAAATCTAATGAGTTAGCTTAGTCACGTAAACAGTGTTTATTTACTTGCATTTTTTACGTAAAGACGAAATTATTTGCACCGTGTACGCCTCATGAACAGTACATAATATGTATATTTATGTATGTGTGGTGTGCAATGATGAGTTTTAAGATTCCTTCCTGATGCAGATGCTCATTGACAATTGGCCAAGAATCTTGTAAAGAGACAACATCTTTTATTTAAGAGCTGGCGCGTAACTCCCGCCAGACGGTACTTAAGGTCGATGACTTTGGTTTCCGTCTGATCTGCGATTTTTTCGCTCTTAGCGCGAAGCGACTTTGCGAATGTATGGCGACCAAAGATTATTTTCACGCTCGCTGAGAGTCGTGAGAATAACATTCGTGTCTGTTTCATTGCGTGTTGTGTTAACTTTGAGTTTTCTTTTCAGTACTTGCACCGTAACGCCGGCGAATGGAAATTTAACGCCTTCTATTTCGACAAACTGGCCGGGGGTAAATTTACGATGAGAGTTTTCACGCACAAACGACTGGTCTATTTCTGAGAGTAACAAGAGAACTTTTGAATTATCTGGATATCTTAATTAATAATGACAGACTAATCGATTCGTGCGTGATGATACTCTTAAAAAAAATTACATTTTCTTTTGTTTCTTTTTCGTTTGCAGCGCTGTTGTTGAGTGAAGCGATAAGTTATGAAGTGGTTTTACATTAATAATCTTAACGATTTGGACATCACTATAGTTAGAATTAGGAATACAATTAAATTTACGAAAAATTAGGCGTCAAAAGAAACGAACAAAACATAACACAACTACCCGGTCTATATTTAGTTCAAAAATCGTAATAGCATTGAAATATCAAACCCATAAGATCGCGAACAAGGATTCACTTGCGATTGAATTATTCAAATCAATTTACGTCATAATAAATATCAAACTTTATTAACACTATTGAATGCAGTTTAGCAGTGCGGCCACGATACATAAATCACAACGAAACTTCTCATTTTATGTTCGTGATCGCTAATTAGATTTGCGTCCCACTTGGTCTAACCTAGATGATTTCATTTTAGCCCGGAGACTGTTCTTTGAAAGTTTGATGATGAGGAAAAACAATATTTTTTTAATTACCAATACTTAATACACACTGTTATTTGATGGGTTCTCGATATTTAGGCGCAGTTGTAAGCGAATGATAGTGCATGGATAGCCTGATCATCATCATCATCTTTGGTCTTACGGCCTTAGCCTGGTCCAGTATGTCTCTCCAGACTGCTCTGTTCAGGGCTTTCTCCTTCCAGTTCTTAACGCCGATATTTTTGAGGTCTCGCTCCACGCCATCCAACCATCGGAGTTTGATGGATAGCCTGATTAGTAGTCTACTATTGAAATGTGTATTTCGCGGAAAGAACCCGTTAAATCTGTATCACGCAGATAGTGGCGAAAGCTTAACACAGTAAATAAATGAGAAGTATATCTAGTAAATATTTTAATTCTGTAAACAACAATAGTCTTATTTTAATAGAATTCTTTTCGATTCGACTCAAGTAGCTTAAGGCATGACTTTCTTAAAGTACACCTTACGTCGATCATTTGTTACATTTTGTAATTTCCCTTGGGCAATACGGAATGAAGTAGATTATGCCCGTACAATGGTTTTGAATGCTCTTACTAAGGAAACGTGTAAAATCTCTTATGTTTTTTTGTTCGTTGCTATAAATATTTTGTTTTTCAAAAATGAATGAGTAAGACGTCAAATAAATAAATTAATTTCAATGAAATCTTGCTATTTCGAAATTCACTTCGGAAATTGTTCAATCTATTAAAAAAAAGATATATGCTGCTTTCGATATAATTTATTGCAATACGATTTGCGGTCTTATTTTTCGCGCTGCGGGATATCAGTGCCGCGGTGTCTATGGTCTCTGGAAACTTCTCAAACTAAGATGGGCTTTAAATATGGTCTAAAAAAATCATACATAAGTTCACAGCGACATGCAACGTATTGGCAGCTTGGTATTATTGCGAATATCTACAGTACAGTGTCGGAGTTTCGTGACTGCAGACGATAAAACATGATGATATACAAATGATTCATATTTTAATTTTTAACCTGTAATTTAATAACATTATTGCTGTAATTACTATGGCCTGGAAGATTTAGCTTTTAGTGATAAAATCATAGGAATTTTGTGTTAATGATAACGTTAAATTATTTTTGTAGTCCATTAGATATACTGAATAGACCCACTAGATACTGTTACATAATTTCAAATGATTCTCAACAATGTCAAGTCAACTATTGTGGTGTGATATAACTAGATTTCCCTCGTGTTAAATCGTTTGTCCTTTGACTAAGCGTCTTTGTTACATTGTTTCATTAATTAATTTATTTCGTTGCCGTTGAGTTTGTGATTGGAATCGTTTTCGAAAACTGAGGAAATTATAAGAAAAACACATCGAATAATCCCAAGGAATTGTTGTTGAAAATCGGTTCCCAAGAGATTGCTGTTGAAAATCGGTTGGTCACGTATAGATTGGTATGAGAAAAACACGAACAAAAAATATGACACAATTTCATTGTAATGTTATCTTAAAATTCATTAATTTAAGGTTATAAATGAGAAATAAAGTGAATTCTTGTTAATCAAAAGTCTATAATAGAGTAAGTAGTTGAGAATGTACATTTTCTGAAAATGTCTGATATCTTTGTAATTTTGTATAATCAGAACATTCTATTTTGCGGCAAATTAATTTTTAAAACTATGGAATTGTTTTTTCAATTTCATATAGGTATATTATGATAATTTTGATCTTCAACCAAATCGACCATAAAACTTTCATTGTCCAAACTTCCACAATATCATTATGTGATAGATGCGTTCTAGAAACAATTACACTTTTTTTTGTACAATGTATGTACTTTTTTTTTTATCTTAAACATCTATCAAAATACTCAAGTTGGATGTAGCAATGTTGGGGGAAAGAGTCGAGCGAAGCGGTGCCATCAATATCGCGTCGTGTAAGTACTCGGGTGACCACAGTCGTACGGAGAAAAGGACACGATCAAATGAGTAATCGTCAAAAACTAAAAAAATTGTAGGTCGGGGGCTTTTTATACTAAGTTTTCTGGGAAAGAGACGGCGGTGTTTTCAACTTTAGTACATAGCGAAAGAAACCTATCGACTATTTGAAGACACGAGTGGATGAAGGGGTTAAGTACCATTTTTAAGAATTTTGAGTTTTTACATTGAATGAAGTTGTAATGTGCCCATAAACCATATTAGACCTTAAAACTCCGGGCTAAAATTATTAGAAATTGCACATGACGAAGGAGCTATGTGCGAAGAACAAGTAACAAAAGTTTGTTGCCCGTTTTCACAAAATTAACAAATCGCATCATATCCCCTTCATCCACTCATGGTCTTCAATTATATTATTGTCGATTTTAAACATACATCCCGGACAAGACATCAGTCGACAGTAACTGTAGGTACTTCGAATCCAAATTTCTTACATTCTAGGCTCGAAGCACTGTTTATACGAATGTCTTTTTTACGAATAATTAACAATTAACAAATAACACTGGTGGTAGGACCTCTTGTGAGTCCGCACGGGTAGGTACCACCGCCCTGCCTATTTCTGCCGTGAAGCAGTAATGCGTTTCGGTTTGAAGGGTGGGGTAGCCGTTGTAACTATACTGAGACCTTAGAACTTATATCTCAAGGTGGGTGGCGCATTTACGTTGTAGATGTCTATGGGCTCCAGTAACCACTTAATACCGGGTGGGCNACTGGTGGTAGGACCTCTTGTGAGTCCGCACGGGTAGGTACCACCGCCCTGCCTATTTCTGCCGTGAAGCAGTAATGCGTTTCGGTTTGAAGGGTGGGGTAGCCGTTGTAACTATACTGAGACCTTAGAACTTATATCTCAAGGTGGGTGGCGCATTTACGTTGTAGATGTCTATGGGCTCCAGTAACCACTTAATACCGGGTGGGCTGTAGGCTCGTCCCCCATCTAAGCAATAAATAAATAAAAATAACAAAAAACATAAATCAACAATTACGCGCTTTAGTTACGAAACATACGTGTACCATGCCTCCTTTACGTTACGTTCTAAATCGTTTCGGTCATAGAAACATACATCTTTTAGAAACGAATTTGTTACAGTCAACGTACATATCATTATCGTGAAGATGAACATTACACACGTTACGTGCTCCTTTAAGGGTGATTTTCGCTAAAAACCGTGGAAACTCGATTAGTGGACTCGTAGTTTTAGTACTTTTGACATTAAAACGGCTATTTCAAAAATAAAAGCAATTTGACGATGCATTTACGTAATTATTCTCACGACCGTATGATTTACGGTATATGACTGCATTTCCGCATTTCGGTATGTGCACAATAATAACGAATTGTGATTTCTGCTGGGTTCTAAAATTTGAATGACGCGAACATATTCCGGTTAAAATAAGTATAAAATGCCTAATCTTATTAAATAAGAAATTTGCTTATTAAATTATAAACGACCTGGATTTTTTCCAACAGACACTGCTTTAATGACTACTGACGCGAAATATTTGATTTTTTTAATTATTTTAGTTTTTAAAGAGAAGTAATTAAATGTTTAGCAATTACAAAATTTGGTGAGCCACAAAAAAACAGCATTGAAATAATTTGGTCGGTATACAAAGATTTTGTTTGCAATAAAAAAAAACAGGCAGCAATCCTTGTTCCGCAAATAATTTTGATAATGGTGAAAAATTAAATCATAAGTAGCCGGCTTGCAATAACATGAGTTTGCATAATAAACATTTAGTTCGCAAAATAACTATTTGATCAGCAAGGTTACATGATTGATCAGCAGAAAAAAACATGTCTATATGCAGTGTGTTTGATTGGTATGCATATTTAAAACATGGTAAGCAAAATAACTAATCGGATTGAGTTTTTGTTGAAAAATTGACATTGTATGATAATAGTGCGCGGAGTAAGAGCAGGCGCGTGACACGAGGAACCAATCGCGTGCGAGTATTGTCATTCGATGATTATGCGGCGATTTATTAGCAGTTCAATTGCACTGGTAATTTGAGTCCCGTGAGCTCACCTACTAGTTAAGGTTACACTGGAATAGCCTCTCAAGGCTACCAGCTTAGGTAAAAAAATTGTTTAAAGAGATTTGTGAGGTTTTTGCTACTTAATTGTTTTATATCTTTTGATTTATCTCCATTATATTTTACAAAAATAATTTTTTTATTTTATTAATTTACACTTCTATACCTAAATAATACATATCCAAACAGAGAGTAAATAAATTAAATAATCTTTGTAAGGAATGCGGAATTATTTTCAAAATATTGCTGTCGCTTCACTCAACTATTTTACTCTAAATAAGCAGCTAATGTTTTATTTGCGATTATATATATTTTTTTGTTTTTGTTTTATAAACTTTTATAAGCAGTTTTGTCTTGTCTGTGCTGTCTAATTTAATTTTTGTTTGTCCAGGACGTGGTCTCCCAGCCCTCTGTCTCCATTTGTTCGAAGAACATGGATTGATGGAGCACTTCAATCTCGACATTGTAAAATGCTGGAAATTATTCACTCTCTTCGAGTCTGGATATCACAGCACCAATCCCTATCATAACTCTATTCACGCTACCGATGTAACACAAGCGATGCACTGCTTCCTGTTACAGGGTTCAGTAAGTATTAACTAGTTTATATTGTACATTATACGGTTCTTTTTGGAACAATAAAGTAGTTAATTACATTATAGTACTGAAATCGATATCGATCATTTAAACATACGGTAACTTAACTAAACCGCAAAGTTTTTAATTTGGCTGATATTTTATATATATATAGAAAAAAAACGAGAAATGTGATTTTTAAAGTAATTTGGCTATGGGATTCCGAGGTATCAGTTCGTTTTGAAACAGGTGTCTTTTGTTATCATTTCATAAAAAAATCAGTCAGCGAATAATTCTATGACCTATGGTAAGAGTAATTTGATAGAGTCTTAGTATTTATATATTATAGGTTTATGTTATATTGTAGCGTAAACGTGCTGACGGTCTATGACTTCCGCAGAGAAGCAATGCAATGTATACGCAGATAAAACCTGTAAAACCTTAAAATTTTTGTATTTACTGGCGGCGGTCTGCTTTGGACCTGTGGAAGATCTGTAGGAGGGAGCCACATCCGGGTTGTCACCAGTGCGGGCATCTGGAGGATGACGTTCAGCACGCACTCGAAGTGTGCCCGCGTTGAGAGCACTCGCGGCGAGATCTCATCGCGGTGCTGGGGAGGGACCTCTCCTTGCGGGCTGTCATCGCCCGCATGCTAGAGGACCAGAGTTCGTAGGAGGCCATGGTCAGATTTTGCGACCTGGTCATGGCGTTCCGTGACGCTGAGGAGCGCGAAAGGGAATGGTATCCCTTTTCGGCTCCTCAGCGAAAAAGGCGGGGTGAGCGACGCGGCCACGATGCACCCGTTAATCTCCCGTAGGGACTGTTGGGTACCGGGTGCGGGGGCGCCCGGTGCTCTGCTGTCAGTCCCGTAGTGAGGCGGCGCAAGGTGGCTCATGTGCGCCGCTCATGGTGTTGCTCCCGAGACGACGTCCTTACGTCCTGCGCGATCTTCCCGGGGATGGAATCTCGTCCTATCGTCAGGATGGGTACCGGCGACAGCGAACCTTCGGCGCGCACTGTGCGGTACCGTGGGTTTCGTGGAGTGGGAGTGCTGGGGCTTGATGGGGCTTAGTCGGTAGTCGGTTTTGCGGGGCGGGTCTAGCGTGGCTGACGCCGCGCAGCGCCTCGCGCGCGTTCTCAAGGCGTAGTCTCCCGGCAGGATTTGGAAGAAGAGGAGGACTACAGTCTTCCTCTTCTCCCTCTTCTGCTCCGGAGGCGCCGGAGTCCGACATAACCCGATCTGTTACCCCCCTCGACCTGGAGACCCGTTTCCGTAAACGGATTCCCCAGTGTTAAAAAAAACGGGCCAATTCGCACATTTATGCAACTAAAAATAAAAAAGCAATCTTGGAAAAATAACTATTTTCTGATAACAACTAGAACTATCTGTAAACAACTCTTGTTGGGCCAATCTCCGCGAACATCTCTCGATTCCCGCTCGTTTCTTCAGCAAACATTTGGATTGCAGGATTCGTATTCCTTGAGATATTTAATTAAACGTCTGGAAACGCTCCGGAGGAAACCGTTTTAACTTTACTCCCGTTCCGAGACTCGAAATCGTTTCGCTTGAGATTTAAAAAGCACTTCAGCACGTTAAAGAGTCGTACAGCTTGATTCCGAACTAGAAATTTTGTAGAAAATAAATTATGTTCAAACATTATGTGTTGCATTTATAGATGTACAATAGTTCGCGTTTAAGTTTCGCTTGCCAGATTGTCACGGTGTCAATATCAGGTTTATTAAGTGAGATTAAACCGAATGAGTCCCTGCAGATTACCTGCCAAAATGTATTTGTAGCCAGCAAGTCTATGCTGGTATATTTATCTAACTGGAAGTAGCTATAGATCTACTTAAAACTGTTCGAATAAATAAATTGAGTCTTTGGATTTAAAAAAGAATGTAACTTAACAAATTTTTTTTTGACGTGCGAGGTAATTTCTTGATTATTTTATAAAAAGCAAATTCCCTGCATATTCAATAACATCAAGATATTTTTTAATATCCGATAGCTGCACTGAAAATGCGAAGATGGTAATAAAATACGTTTTTTAATAAAATATCGCGAAGATATTTTCTCAGTGCAACATTTTATATTAAAGTCGTCGTCGAATGTTATTAAAATTCTGAATATTAATACCTTATATAGCAAGCGACTATAGTGCCTCTACAAAGCTAGCTAGATATTAAACTCGTGTGGAATGCGAAGTAGCTGCTCGTATTAAACGTTGATATTTTCGATGCGCATTATAACGTATATAATAAATACGCTTTGGAAACTATACACGAACTATTTCTGGTATTTTGAAATTAGTTCTCGTCACAACGTTGCGGCTTTGTTATTAAAGTTATGTTTGTTATAAACTAAATATTATACACATTCTGCTATTTTGTGATATATTATTGTTTTTCAAGCTATTGCATAGCTTTTATCGCGGGATTTGAGCTCGGCGACCGAATCAAGGAATTCCGTAACGAAAATAAAACCTAAAACTCCCCACTCCGCCTACCATGTAGCTCGCGTTCAACACATTCACACATTGCACTTGTGTAGTGTTTGTGAATAAGCGCACGGTGTGACATCGCATTGTATGCGTATCATGAAATATCTGCCCATCTCTCTCTCGCGCGGTCTAGCTTATGAGTGTGAAGAGGACAGTTAATGTTTTGCTTTTGTTAATGTTTATAATTATAGCGTGGTCTTATTTGATTATTGTTTTAATATTAAATTATTATTGTCTAATTATAATTGCATAAGTTGATAAAAAATGCTATACATTTATAGCTTACCGCGACAGTCCCCGAGTGTCACACGTAGTTTTTTTTTTGGCCGAGTACTTTGATGTTGTTTAATATATCGACGCTTGAAAGGTAAACGTGACTAAGCGACAATGCGTGAACTTTAAAGTAGACTAATTTAAAGTTGAAATACCTGAAAACAAAATTTATTTTAACGAATCTAGCTGTAGTAGAATCTGGCTAGTAGCTGTAGGATTCAAATGATTTTAATAGACCTAGAAATATATTTTTTTGCGCATCAAATATGGTTATTGCCTATCATTTATGTACAAAGTAGTTATTGTCGCTTAGTCACGTTTGCCTTTCAAGCGTCGATATGTATTTTATTTTCGGGTCCTACATTAGTTTTTTCTTCGAAGTCAGTCTACATAGGATTCGCAGTAAAAAACTTAGCTTTTATCTTACTTCAATATAATATAATAACCCAAACGCACTTTTGTGTTATTCCCCTGTTCTTACACTGATCATCTTCAAGTCATTCTTGTGTAAGTTTCGTAATAATGGTTAAGGGAAAAAGCTTCTGGATATTTATTGTATATGTATATAATTGTTTTGGTTTGTCACTGTCTCCGTAAGAAAATGTCAGGCCCAATTCTCGTATACCTTATATATTGAGTGTCTTCCAGTCCATCTTGCTAATTAGTTAATTCTAATGTTAAACTTTACCTTAGCTCTGACTCGGTGGAAGTAATAATATAATCACAACGAATGTATACTCAAAGTAAAGTGCTAGTTGATCTCTCTGTAAGACTAGTCTGAACTCAATGCTCAGCCAATCGGGGAACTTCACCTGCAAGCTCGAAGTTGAGCTTCTCGTTCATGTTTTCCTGAAATAGATGTGCTTTATCCGAGCTTCAGAGCGGGGACGTTTGCTATTGTGTACAGACTTGAAAACTTTGATGAATACAAAAAGTTCTTAGATATTTCAATTAAATTGTTAGAAAACATTTCGCTCACCGTACAGTGTTTTTCCTCTGCAATATGCTACTTTAGTAAACTATAAAGCATCTTTCATATATAATTTCATAATTCGTGTAATAAAAATTAAACCTGCAAAAATTATAAATTGCGTAATTCATGGTGGTCGGGCGTCTTGTGAGCTTGCTCCTGTAGGCACTACGACATGCCTATTTATAAGGTGAAGCCGTATTATGTTTCGGTTTGAAGGGAGGCGCAGTCATCTATACTAATATATAATAAATCTACAGTGGTTTTCACGGATGTTCCGTTATAACTACTGAACCATGCATCCGATTGACTTGAAACTTGGTATCCATGTAGAAAATACATGTACTTAATGGATAGCCTAATATTTATATGAGTGTTGGATTCCCTAATAATAATGACAATAAATAATGATGTGAATTTTAAATGTCCAGCGAAGCGGGCGAGTACGGCTAGTTGTATTATAAAACTGAAACTCGGAACTCATATTTCGATGCAAGTGGCGGCATTTACGTTTTCGATGTCTATGGGCTCCGGTAACCACTTAAGACTAGGTGGACTATGAGCTCGTTCTCTCATCAAACCAATAAATCAGATATTTTTGAGAGTTTTTCCTGTAGAAGTTATACTTAAGTCCCTAATTGAATACATCTTGGTGGTGTTTTGAGCCCGCACGGAATAATCGTATTTTTAGCTCGAAGGGTAGGTTAAGTGTTGGAATTTCGATCGCTTATGGAGTTGTCATACAATAATAACCGCTTGACACCAAATGCTTGACATATATGTATATATGTCCGTCTTGATCTATTTGGCGTATGTCGTTTCACTATCGTAGCTTTGCGTTATCATTAATCATAAATGATAAAGATCGCAGTCCAATTAGTATCATCTTTTTTATTGCCCTTGTAGGCTGACGAGTATGTGTTCCACCTGATGAGTGGTTACTGTCGTCCTTGGACGTCAGCAATGCCAGGGGCAGAGCCGTTGTCTACCGTTAAAATCTTGTAGAAGCATCTATCATCAAACTGGGACGCAAGCGCTCCACCACCTAAAACTAGTATTATAAATCGTAAGACAAATATAACCATATTGTTACAAAGATACTGGTGGTAGGACCTCTTGTCAGTCCGCACGGGTAGTAATAATGTAATAATAATAATAATAGTAGTAATGCGTTTCGGTTTGATGGGTGGGGTAGTCGTTTTAACTATACTCTTAGAACATATATCTCAAGATGGGCCGCGCATTTACGTCATAGATGTCTATGGGCTCCACCAACCATTCAACACCAGGTGTACCAAAAATTAGAAAAAAGTCACATATCTTGAATGTACACATATTAATATAATATCTCTTTTTCTCAAACAGATCAGGGCGTTCATTCGCCCGGTTGAAATTATAGCGTGCTTGCTATCAGCAATCGCGCACGATATTTTTCATCCGGGTGTTAATCAAGGCTTCCTGATTGCAACCTGCAACCATCTAGCAGATCTATACAGGGTAAGTCTATCAGTAATTTATTTGTATTATTAATACATAAATCTAATGTTTTATTTACGAACTACTTATGTAGCTTGAAAACGAGTAAATACGTTTTCTTCTTAAGTACAAAATCGATTTTGAAAAACTAGTGTAATTAATGTATTTGCAATGGGAACCGTTTTTAATCTTTGGATCCGCACTATATATAGTCATCCTAATAACGGCGAAGGCCTTTTGTCTCTAGTGTAGGTTTCATAAAAAATGTATATTCATTAATAAACAAATATAATACATATAATATGATTGTACGCAATATTTTTACGACAAATATGAAAATGACATCTATCGTAGTCTTTGAGACGGAATACGTCATAGCTTTTTGTGTTCGAAATAGTCACCACGATGCTGGTACATAAAATGTGTATATTATGTACATTATTTACTTTACTTTGAGATAGCTGTTGAAGTCGGATGTCGTGATATAAGATTTTATGTTCAGATTAACAGACGGATAATATATAGGTCTCTAGTTTATTTCAAACAAATCTAACAAATCTTTGATGCGCTCTAGACTGGACGTCAATCGTTTGGGAAGGTCTTTAAATTAGCTGCCCAATAATGGCATTAGATGATGTTAATAATTTAACGGAACTATTTTATTTTTCAATATAGCAGCGGTAAACGGCTGATTGCTACTCAAAGACGCTCTTTCTATTCGCAGTTAAAACTTATGTAATTAAATAACAACAACAACACGTGTGGCACTCGGGGACTGTCGCGGTAAAGCTATTGCACAGCATTTTTTATCAACTTATGCAATTATAATTAGACAATAATAATATTATATTAAAACAATAATAAAATAAGACCACGCTATATTTATAAACATTAACAAAAGCAAAACATTAACTGTCCCCTTCACACTCATAAGCTAGACCGCGAGAGAGAGATGGGCAGCATTTTCATGATGCGCATGCAGTGCGACGTCACGCCGTGCGCTTATTCACAAACACTACACAAGCGCAACGTGTGAATGTGTTGAACGCGAGCTACATGGTAGGCGGAGTGGGGGGCTAGGTGTTATTTTCGTTACGGAATTTCTTGATTCGGTCGTGGCGCTCAAAGCCCACGATAAAAGCTATGCAATAACTTAAAAACTTAGCAACGAAAATGAGAAAAGAGAAAACAAAATAACTGCTTTGTTAGTATTTAAATACAGATGGATATAATTAACAAGCGCTTAAACATCTGTGAAGCAACACGCTACCGCGTAAAGTCGTCACGTCGATGAAACCTTAATCTGATTCACGAAATCAATTAGGGCGGTGATCGTTCGCCGGCGCGGTGCTAGTAAAAACCAAGTTTAATTTCACGGGAAGGCGGACTTGGACGCGTTCCGGAAACTACGGCGAGCGATATCCGATCAGCATCGGATCTATATCCGGTTATTGCATAAGGGTAGGGTATCGCTGCCGTACCTAGTTTTGCGGTGAATCAGTCATGCGTGAAGGCTCGATTGAGGATCGACCACATGTAATGCTGCTTTCAGACTACGCTATACTATAATGCCATATAGTATAGCAGCCTATACTTAGCCAATAATATATAGTACAGTACAGTGTGAACTTGTCTATAACAATGTATGGTGTGCGATATTGTTCTGCTATGAGCTATATACTATATGCTCTTATATTATAGCGTAGTCATTCACTTTGAAAAATGGGCTCCGGTAACTAATGCAAATGTTATATTATGTATGTATTTAAAAAAAAAAAAAAAAATATTCATTCGTTTTCTATGCGTTAGCGAGTATTTCACTTCTTGGACGTGAATTTTCAACTGTTTTTTTGCTTAAAATGCTCTGAAGCCCTCTAAAGCTCTGAGACACAAAACGCAGTAAGGAGACGCGCGATTTATTTTCCCAAATCAATGATAGTCTTCAAGGCGTCTGCATTTGGCAGGTCTTTACTGGTTCTAAATAAATCTTCATAATTTTAATTATAAGCCAAACTACCTTCATAGACTTTTGAGACATTCAAAGACCTCTCGTCTTCGAGTCGCGGTCGATTAAAACACAAACAAGTTTTGTCTGATGGAGCTGCGGAGACCGCCCATACTATTTATTTCTCATTTGCATAAATATTGATCCTACACGCCATTCATCGAACATCACTCAATTTAACTTCAGCGCCAATGTTTGTTTATTTTTCATAGTTGATTTCTTGTATATTTAATAGAACTTTTATACTATCCTTTTTTACACTTTTTTTTTTTTTTTTTTTTTTTTATATCTTACGCAATTATTGTAATATTAACTGTGTGTACAATAAAGAATAAAGAATCCTTCTTTAGAAGAAATATTAGTTCAGGTTATGATATAGATACGTTATAACCTGGTCGAATTGTTGTTTTATTTTAATTAAAAGGCTTCATTAGTGTAATTCTGAAAAGCTAATTGAAATTCGATTAATTTTCTGGAACTTACAAATAATATTGAGGGCGGAAATTGAGAAAGGATTCCGGACGATATGTGCTCATACATACATGTGTGCACTGCGAATAAGCGTTCACTCTCATTGCGGTAAACCGCACAATTAGTATGCAAACAAGGCGGTTTGTGGTCAGTTGTCCTATCGCTTTAAATTATTTCCTTTGATAGCAGATGAGTATAGATATAGATAGCATACTGGTGGTAGGACCTCTTGTGAGTCCGCACGAGTAGGTACCACCACCCTGCTTATTTCTGCCGTGAAGCAGTAATGCGTTTCGGTATGAAGGGTGGGGCAGCCGTTGTAACCATAATGAGACCTTAGAACTTATATCTCAAGGTGAGTGGCGGCATTTACGTTTTGGATGTCTATGGGCTCCGGTTACCGCTTAACACCAGATGGGCTGTGAGCTCGTCCACCCATCTAAACAATAAAAAAGGGCATAAGGCCCAGTAAATAGTGGGTAGTCATCGATTCACATAGACTTAAATAATGTCAATGGACTGTTTCGAGGCTCGGTTCAAAATCTCTAATATCAAGTGGCAGTAAAATATCTCTGTACCAGTGACTAGACTAGCTACTAGACACTTTTCCAGATTTTAAAATGGGGATGATGGGAAACACCAATCGTTTCCTCAGAGCACACCACGTTTAAAGATATTTTACTACTAAAAATTGGTTTTATGAATCATTGGTTTTATTAAAGCGTAATAGATTCAAACCCGATTCGAATTGAATGCAAGCGAAAAAATAAACAGAATTTTCTCTTTAAGTAAATATACTCCTTTCGTGTTCTATTTGACATTTTTCGTCATATTAGTGTACGGTTTTCGAAAGCGGCCCTCGACGCGTTTGCGGCTCATTGCATTAACAACATATATAAATACAGACAACCGCATTTCACGAGATACCTTTACGAAATATATTATATTGTTATTTAGATAACTGTTGTGAGTTATTTTAGTAATTTTCATAATTAATTTATTTATTATTAAAAAAAAAGAACACAATATTCCTAACCTAAAAGTACATGTTATTATCCGCAACATGCTTCGTCAGATTTACGAAATTGTGTAATCAAATTTCGGGGATTCGGTCTCGTTTTGATTTTCCATTTCAATCGAAACGCTACGGAATTGATTGATTTAGCGGTTACGTTAACAAAGGGATCGATCTTCGAATAACAAACAAATTTTAAAAATAAAGATATATTTCTTAGCCGACAATATTTCGTTCGTATACGATTTACCCGATCATCAAACACTATTTTTATTGAGTGTTGTATGTTTTATACCGCTTTAGTGTTTAGTAGCGGTATATACACATTATACTGTAGTATATTATAGAATTGATTCATAAATGTAACCGATAAAATTTTTTAAAGAATATTTTTTACTTCTTCCCCTATATATGTATATAAATGAATTGCTGTTCGTTAGTCTCGCTAAAACTTGAGAACGGCTGCACCGATTTGGCTGATTTTGGTCTTAAATTATTTGTGGAAGTCCAGAGAAGGTTTAAAAGGTAGATAAATAAGAAAATGCTCGGAATTAAATAAAAATAACAATTTTGTTTTTCCTTTGATGTGTCCCCCGTCGGACGGATTCCTTTTGTTTGTTATAAGTTTGTTTTATACAAAAGTTTAGGTGTTTTATTTATCGATTGAGGTACTACGAAGTCTGCTCGGTCAGCTTTTTTTTATAAAATATGTTGTCTGTTAGAATTATAATGCGTTCTGTTGAACTGCTTTGAGCGGTTGGTGATTTCTAATTATATTAAAAATATTATTTTAGTGTCGTAAAGCAGTAGACGCTCACGGTTCACCTGACGTTAAGTGGTTTCTGAATCCCACTGACAGCGTGATTGCCGTCACCAATTGCTGGTAGGGCTTATTGTGAGCCAGCACGAGTTAGTATCACTATCCTAAATATTTCTGCTGTAAGTCTGTAACTCTGTCTGGACTCCAGTTTTAAGGGGCTATAGCTTTTATACAGTACAACTTTGACTTAGACCTCTTGTCTCAAAATGGGTAGCAGTTGTGTTATGATGTCTATTAACTCCAGAAATCGCCTCCCGTTAGATATGTCATAAAATCGTTAATTCAACTACAAGCATGTAAATCCTGTTTGTTTTGACTTTTACGAAAGTTGTTATTGCGAGAGACAATGAGTGGATTGTGGGGCCCACTACCCATGGCAGAACATAAACCCAAATTAATTTCTCATTGGCTATATTTATATAGATGATTAATTAATAATATTCTAAGTGACTTGCAAGGCAAGATCCATACTCATTACACTCGTATGTCGAAAACATAGCAAGTATTTCATATATTACTGTTTCTAAGAAAATTCTCGCTATGAATGTGTCCGAGAATCGTTTTCGTAAACGAAGCTCAAATTTCAGAAGCCAAACATTTGATATTACATTATTTTTTTACATATAAAGAGCAACTGGTGGTAGAACGTCTTGGGAGTCCGCACGGGTAGGTACCACCACCTCACCTACTTCTGCCGTGTAGCAGTAATACGTGTCGGTTTGAAAGGCGGGGCAGTCGTTGTACTGTTAAAACTGAGACCTCACAACTCATTTCTCGAGATGAGTGGCGGCATTACGTTTTGAATGTCTATGGGCTCCGGTTACCGCTTAACACTAGATGGGCCGTGAGCTCGTCCAACTATAAAGGCTATAAAAATATATATATAAAGTTTTACCGGACGTAAAGCACAGCCGTCATCAACGTTATAAAAATGTAACACTGCTGACTGACTTCAAACTTTACATTACACCTTTACAGAATTTTTCTTATTCTTCTTAACGACTTCTTTCCTGACAGAGTGGTCTTGATCGCTATGTAGCCTTGCAAGAGTCTAAGTTGACGCGTTTGACGATGCCCTACCATCTATCTCTTCCTGGTATTCTATTCACCTATTATTATGATACTTGTGGACATGTGGCCTTTCTTAAAGTTCGTTTGGTGGCTGAAACCTTTGAGTGTATCAATGTAAGAGATCGAAAACGTACTTTTTAATTATTTTTAAAAGGCACTCGATGTATCTAATACAGAAAAAAAAATATCAGCTCAAGATATCGGGGAACGCAGTGGAGGTTCGCTCACAATTGCGGGCTCGTCAAATTGAACTCACTAAAACCGTATCTAAATTAAGCAAATGAATGAAATGTCCTATTTTGAGATCGTAAAATTTTCATTTCATTTTGATTTCCAGGACCACTTACATCCTGTTTAATAAGTTATGATATATGTCAGTTAAAGTTGCTTAGAATCCGAACCCGTCACCGCAATAAGCGTAAGACGCAGTGGCCTTTGGAGATCTCGATGTGGTGAGGAACATTATTGTCGGTTATATTTGTCTTTCATCTCACTTAGTTAATAACTAAAAATAAAATTACGTATGACATCTGCAATTTTCTTATCTTTTTTATAGTAAACCCAACATAATACCTTCAATTTCGACGGCGCACGTAGGCGTACTCAGAAAAATAGTGTTTCGGTAACTTGGCTGTGTTTTTTGCGGCTAAAGTTAACGTCAATGTTTTCTTAGGCTTCACAATTTCAAGATTAGGTACCCTCGTGACACGCCTGTTGTACGACCAGTTTGAGAGTTTTTCTGGGCTAACACTAATCCCTAGATTCAAATTCTTTGAGGGTAATGGGAGAGATGTGCTCCGCACTAAACGCTTCACTTTCCCCCCTTTGCCTTTCCTGGGTTCTGTTTCATGCGAGGTTCGGACGCGGGTTGTTGAGGGACAGGAGGTTGTAAAAAAAAAAAAAAGATTCAAATTCTTCCATCTATTCGCTTTCACAGACAATACATAAACACATATACACACACACACACATGCGCGTACACACACAAACAAACCGACACAAACCACATAAACGCACACATACAATACAACAGACCGCAATTGTGCCAGTCTGACATTAAGCTCAAACAGATAATTTTAAAATAATTATTCAATTAAATTTTCTCTATAACACGCCACTAGTGTTTTCGCCACCGATTCATAAATGGTAGGATATGGCGTTGGAAATAAATTAAGTTCAGCGCTATAAATCTTCGAAATTGATGTAATACAATCAATGAAATTCTGAAGCAAAATATCACTGTTACTTTATAATCTTGCAATTGAAATAAAGTATCAAATAAATTTTTTTTTACAAATACAATTTTCTCGGTTGTACTTTTGTTATTTGTGAAACAAATACCTACAGTCAAAGTAGACAATTAAAGCATAGTTCGAAAGTAAAATCGAATGTAAAACTTACAATGTGGTCGTATAAATTATTCCGTTTAATTACCCATGTTTCATTAAAGGTCTGTTCTCAATTACAATCGACCTCGACAACGTTCAGGAGCTTAGCAACTTGTTGCGCAGTCTAGTCGCCTCGAAAGACGTGTGCTTTATTCAACTACGGCTTAGCAATTTAAGTTCGAGAGCTTTCATAACGAAACGATCGAAGAGCGATTTTGTTATGTTCGTATTGTATCAATACGCTGAGACTGTTAACACTATTTCTAAATTCGAAAGGCATTCTACAAAAATAATAAGATGTAATAAATAATAGTTTTTTATAAAATTGTACACAATGATACAATGCTAACGTATTTTATTTTTTTTATTGCTTAGATGTGTGGACCCTGGTGTTAAGTGGTTACTAGAGCCCATAGACATCTAAAACGTAAATGCGCCACACACCTTGAGATATAGTTCTAAGGTCTCAGTATAGTCAAAACGGCTGCCCCACCCTTCAAACCGAAACGCATTACTGCTTCACGGCAGAAATAGGCGGGGCGGTGGTACCTACCCGTGCGGACTCACAAGAGGTCTTACCACCAGTAATTACGCAAATTAAAATTTTGCGGGTTTGATTTTTATTGCTCGATGTTATTCCTTCACAGTGGAAGTCAATCGTGAACATTAGTTCAATACGCTAACTAAAAAAAGGATTAATCACTGCAACTGAGGGAAAATAAAAGTTCTTATGCACAAAATATTGATCTTATAAGTTTATTTTTATTTACAAAGTATTTATTAAAATCATTTAAAACATATTTGAAAAAGTGAATTAAAAAAAAAATACTATTATTTTCCTATGACGCCGAGAAGGGGGGGTGTGGAAGAAATTATTCAAGATGGTCCCTAAGGGTGGTTATCTCCACTTAACCATCGCGTCACCCACCGTTGGAGCAGAGATCATCCTTACTACAGAGATTTCCTAGAAATCATTTCAGTAATAAAAAAATTACCAAGACAGTTTTAAAGCACACTCAAAGCTTAGTTTTACATCTCAGTAAATTTGAAAGATCCTGTCTAAAGAGGAAATAACCTAGCGCGTTTTACTTGGAACCTTAAAGCGCTTTTAGTTAAGAACTAATTAAAATTTTGAGCTAAAAGCGTCCTACTTAAAAGCTTTCTAAACTCTAAAGATTACCAAGCTGCCTCGTGTTTGTTAGAGGAAAGTATTCCATTTATTTAGAATATCAGATGTAGAATATATCAAATAATATTTTAAACTCTCGAACTCCAATTTTGTCGTCGTCGTGGCCTAAAGGATAAGACGTCCGGTGCATTCGTACGTAGCGATGCACCAGTGTTCGAATCCCGCAGGCGTGTACCAATTTTTGCAATGAAATACTTACTTAACAATTGTTCACGATTGATTCCCACGGTGAAGGAATAACATCGTGTAATAAAAATCAAATCCGGAAAATTATAATTTGCGTAATTACTGGCGGTAGGACCTCTTGTAAGTCCGCACGGGTAGGTACCACCATCCTGCCTATTTCTGCCGTGAAGCAGTAATGCGTTTCGGTTTGAAGAGTGTGACAGCCGTTGTAACTGTACTGAGACCTTAGAACTCATATCTCAAGTTTGGTGGCGGTATTTACGTTGTAGATGTCTATGGTTCCAGTAACCACTTAACACCAGGTGAGCTCGTCCACTCATCTAAGTAATAAATAAAAAAATCCAAACAAAAATAATATGTAAAATAGAATTAAACAGGATAACTAAAAAAATTTATATTTAAAAAGGCAAAGCTTGAATTGTTATTGACAGTACTAATAACCTTAACGTTCCTCAATCTATTTCCAATTCGATGCCAGATCACGGCTTGATTGCTTCCCTAATCGACAATTTACAGGGGAACTCTGTTAGCTCCTCTAAATAGGACCGTTGACATGTCAATGACAGTGGCTATAATAATATGGTTACCGCAAGGCGTACGTACGGTCGAATTGCGTGCCGATTAGCTTGTGACCGCAGATACAATATGCGGACTTCCCCTGTTACAACCGAACACTTCCGATTACTATATTCCCGCTGTTGCTGTACTATGCAATACAACATCGAGTGTATTTGTGTTATTAGAAAAGCCTACAGTCCATCTGGTACAAAGTGGTCACGGACTCCACATACTTTGAATACCGCTATTCTCTAAAAGAGTTGAAATTAAAGCCTCCATAATATAATAGATATAGCAGCAAGTGAGAGAGACAAAGAGAACATACTTTATTGCACACCAAAACACAATTAACATTAGAAAACAGTGAACAAGCTGATACGTTTGTGCAATAGAAGCGATTTCTTCCAGATAACCATTTAACTAACCGAAATTCTGGACAGATAAAGATACAGCAGGCATTTTGCGGTGTACTATAATAATACATTACTAAAGAAAATACATACACACAATAAATAGATAAATTAAATTAAAAATAATATATATGTAGGTATAATGTATGTATAATATGAAATCACTATATGATTTTTATTCCAATATACTAACATACACATAATAAATCAACAGTATGGATAAAGCATAAACAAGCAAACAAAACTAGGCGGTTAGGTAATGTTCCTTCACCATTCCTTTAAAGCAGTTTAAAGTTGGAGCATTTCTTACTGCACAATCCACAATCGAACCGCCTGGATGGTGAACGAGTTATCAAAGAATGATGATGAACGCTTTTGCATTTTTAGTCGCAGGCTATATGATCTCAGGGAAAAATTATGCGTATCACCTAGGAACTCGAAACGTTCTTTGAGATTTGTAGGGTTATGGGGGTAAAAGAGAATACAATATAATAAAAAAGGACATCAGTATTACGGCGAAAGTGCACTTATGCTGTGTCTTAAATTGGCGGAGAAAAAATTCAATGTGATATTTGTGTGACTTGTAGTAAAATAGATCCCTATAATTCGATTCATTAATCTATTAAAGTTTTAAATCGCTTAATCAGATTAAAAACGGTTTTCTTCCCCGATATTCAATTTTGATAGATTGTATGAAATAAAAATTTAGTAAGTTTAAAACATGACATATATAACTAAACTATTTTTTTGTTTCCTATCAGATACTCGAAGGGACATCAGAGGTCAGATTTTTTACATAGTGCTCTGATGGTAACGGATTGAGCTTTGGTTGCACGCTTAAAGCATAGTCTGCACGCTACATCCTCTTTCGTTTAGAAATACCAATTTTACATGCTAATGTTAGCTTGCTATCTATCAATGTAAATTTTGATCAACTTCAAATATCAACGTACTTTTTAGCGTATTAGTGTAGATAAGTTCGAAAGAAGTCGAGTAAAAAAAGACGAGTTCAATAACCTAACTTGTTTTTTTTTCATATATGAATATGATGAACTGCATATTGCATAGGTTATGAAAGCGTGGATGGACCGGGTCCCCTTAAAGCGTTAGGTTGTAGTCATATATGCATTATGCTAATATAATGCCTATTTTATCGAACAAACAGGAACGAATGCCTAGTTTTCGGCAGACCGTGGTGCTGAGCAGTCGTGCGGGCTCATAAACCCATACCGACCCTAGTAGACTGGTCGTATACCAGCTCACGCTATAGTCTGTTGAACATAGTAGCTTGATACGCGCTACCGTTGATAGAGAGATTCTTCTATTTGTAATATTAAAAAAATATATATATATAAATATTTTAAATAGTTCGATAATCGACTTTCTCAAACAGTAGGGTAACTTTAGAATTATCAGATTATCAACTGTTCCGCGTATAACCAAAAAGATCTGATAATATTATTACATCATAAGAATAAAGATATTTAACAATAATAAAACGCTTTCTATATACTTGTTTTTTTTTTAAATATTAAACTATGTTTGATTTTTTTTATTTACCGCTTAAAATATACCTAAGTGGTGAAAACTGTCTGTTCGTTCACTGCAAGAAGTGACTTTGCACGCATGTTACCGCTTACTCAGGCAACTAGATTTGATTATTACTCAATAATATTTAAAAAAAGGTTCATTTAAAGAATGTTTTGTGTATTCCAACAGAACTTTTCCGTATTGGAAAGCCATCATTGGCGTGCCGCTCTTAGTTGCATCATCGAGAGCGGTCTCTTGGAAGAAAGACCAGATCTCCAAGAAGAGTTGAAGATACATTTAAAAGTGTTAATCATGGCGACAGACATCACACGCCAGCACGATTATTTAAGTCGTTTTAAGGTAAGTTCCTTTTTCTTTTTTTCTCGCTTAAGATAAGATAAGATAAGCCTTTATTAACAATCTAATTTAAGTTACATTTTTAATACTCTTATTACTATCTAGTTTTATTATTCGACACCGGTTTTTTCTCGCTTAGGCTTATCTAAATTATATGAAATAAAAATTAAATCGATTTTTCATATTAAAAATACATCGTTAAACTATTTACAAGCATCATGTAGAGAAAATGAATTGGTAAAAAGGTATACAATTTTACATGTGAGTTCAGCGCGTGGTAGCTAATGCTGTTCGAATGTTTTTGTTACTACTTATTTCAGAGCAAATAACATATGATTCAACGTTAGAATAAAAAAAGTGTGAATTTCAGTACATTACTTATGTTTGGGAATAAAAATAAGTTCGTAACGTAGTACCATGATAAGTTTCTCAATGTGCATTGATTACTAAAACGCAAAAAAATCTATTTCAAATAATTGTACAGAAGCTATTTTCATAAAGTAAATTTTCGTTTTCATCGTAGCTTAAATGAGAGAATAATAAATACGTACTAAAAAATACAAATATGGACTTGAAGTCCCAAAAATGTTCATAAAAGATTAGAATACCACATTACTATTACTTATTAAAAAAACATATAGTATTGGAATCGTATGGTTCATCGTGTGATATCGTATGATGTGTAATATCATTTATGCTTTGTCATTTGACGTCATCGAATGAGCTTGCAGCACAAAGGTAAATCAGGTAAGACTCATCCGACGTTTCATTAAAACGCTCAGAACTTTTAATCTGTAAGCTTATCCCGTCCACTATCCAATGCTGAAAGAACACATCACTACATAGTATAAAACAAACTCGCTTTCTCTGTCCCTATATCCCTATGTAAGCTTAAATCTTTAAAACTACGCAACGGATTATGATGCGGTTTTTTTTATAGATAGATTGAAGAGGAAGGTTTATATGTATAATAACATTCATTAAAAATAGTTAAATATAGTAAGTGGAGAATTACTGTTATTTTTGAGGTTTCTAGTGTGATGTCGTAAATAATTAAATTTTTTCCGCTTACATTGCAAACGCAGGTTGAACCCTACGAGATATGTCAAAATATAATCATGTACTAAGTATTGTACACATTGAAAAGGTCTACAGAAAATTCCGCGATGGTATATGTCTATCTCTTATGGATATCCCACAATACCAATTTAACGTTTCCGAAGCGAAGCGAGGGCGGGTCGCTAGTACGAAATAAAGTTTTTCTTAAAGATTAATTCAATATTTGATAACGAATTTGATTTAATATAAGTATTAAATAATTTAAATATAGCTAAAATTTATTATACTAGTGATCGTTTTAGTTGAATTTTATGCTCGATTTTTAACATGTGAATATATTATTTGAACATATATACAGGGCGTCGTTATGTCTAATCTATACTAATATTATAAAGAGGAAAGATTTGTTTGTTTGTTTGTATTGAATAGGCTCTGAAACTACTGAACCGATTTGAAAATTCTTTCACTGTTTGGAAGCTACACTACACATTCCTGAGTGACATAGGCTATAATCTTTTTTGAAAAAAATTAGGGATCCTAGCTAAAACTCCAATAATGTAACCAAATGTGTAAAAAATTACCTAAACTATTCTTTACATCACGTGACCTGCGAAAACTATTGATGATAGAATAAAATAATGTACTACGACTTTGTAGAACACATTATTATTTACAAAAACTGTCGCGACAGCATATGTCTAACTATTATAGTTATGTCGCAATAAGTGTTATTTTATTTAAAAAAAATAAAACAACGTCAAATATCGTTGAAATTTTTGTTAAAGACCCGAGCGGAGCCGGAGCGGGCCGCTGGTCTTACATAAGATTTTATTATACAATCCTCGATACCGGTACTATTCATTTCAAATGAACTTATTCTATCAATAAATATGTACTATATTTTAAATAATATGATCATTCATACACACGTCACTGAACCACCAACCAAACGTGAGAATGAAACAATATTTTAAAAAAAAAGAAGTAAAAAAAAATTGAATTTTATTTGTCGGAGCTTTAAACGAAATCTGTTTAAAACAAATGACTTCAAGCTATTGTGACTGGAACGAAACATTGAATTTCCAGTTACGACGAAATCCGATTTTCCATTCAGTCCAAATAGTCTATTTCCAGTAAATCCGCCTGGAGCGCCGTGTAACAACTAACTCCTTTCGACTTGTCCGTTGTTCGGGAAATGTTTCAATAATTAACGCTTCAGAGTACGTTCGATTGGAATAAATCGCCGGCTTACAATGTAGTATGACGTTAAGGAAATAGATTTGTGGTTGTTCGCACACATTATTCTTATTGTAAGTCTGCTTTTGGTATTGTTTTTATTCAATTGGAACACCAGTTAATAACTTCTTCTTCTCCATCGTTCCCTCATTGCTAAGGATCGTGACTCCGTTTCAGCTTGTCGACTGCCAGCCTCCATCGGTTCCGGTCAGTTGCCTGGTGTAGTGCAGCGCTAAGTGGTCCGCTGGTTTGCTCGGAGATCTGGTCGGACCAACGTTTAAACTTGTTAATAACTAACAAGTTTTATTTCATTCGTAATTTCTTCTTTAATAGTATCGAAATTAAAATGGATTTAACAAAGAAATAAACGAATGATATACTTAATCTAAAGCGAACTTTCATTGAATCACTTCCACATACAAAATGCAAACAAAACATCTCTCTAACTAAGCTATAAATGTTGAATTCTCAATATATATAAATAACAGTAATGACGAATTAAGCGCAGGCGATATATTGCATAGTGTTGTTGTCTTTTTCGTGAAACTGAAAATTGAGTGAGTGAAAGAACAAATATTTATACGGCACATTAAATAACGAACGTTTTCAAGATATGGTGATTGATGCTATTTTAAGAAGTCGAATGAGTGTAGGTATATTTTAAGCTTGATTTTAAATTGGATTTAAAGTGGAAATAGTAAAATATAGCTTTTGCCCGCGACTCCGTCCTCGTGGAATAGTTGCTTTGGCATAACGCTAAATTTTACGCCCCACTTCATTTACGTAGCAAGAAAATATTTTTGAATTATAGAATTGCTAAGGAGCTGTTTAAACCCCGATTTCGAAACATTCTTTATCTTTCCTCAATATAAATTCCTATCTAACAATGAAATAATTTTTCAAATCAAACCAGTAGTTCCTGAGATTAGCGCGTTCAAACAAACAAACTCTTCAGCTTTATAATATTAGTATAGATTTGGTCCTGAAACTCAAGATGGTGTGAAAGAATAAAAGAACTCCCAAAGAAATGAAATGTCATACATAACTCTATAAGAATTCCATGGTACAGGAACAGAAATGTTATTAAATTGAAATATGTCATTTACAAATACAAAAGAAGACTGTTTTCTTTCAAAATAGTTCAGAGCAACGAGTCGAGAAGGCGACACCGTTAACAAAAGCCGTGCAATCGACGCAACGTAACAAACAACATTCTTTATAAGCATTATTATAAGCACGGGGTTGCGCTACTAAAAATTTTCATCAAAAATTTATCTGAAAATGTTCCCATCAAAAAGTTTACAGTTAATAAAAATTTTCATGGTTCGTTGACTTTTTAAGATGAAACGCACCGTGACTTTGAAACATCAACAACAATGTAGACGAACTATTTAAACTTTTTAACTCAGGACAGTTTGTTTGTAGTATTCACTTCGGTTTTCGCGAGTCGTAGATGTAATTCAAACTAGTTTTATCGCTTCATCTCGCATTATCCACTTGTCATTATATTATTTGCGGCGCGGCGGCGTTTCGAATAACTCCACAGTTTTCGTGGTCGTGGACAACTGAAATAATATATACGGACGCAAATAATATAATTACTGTAAACAACGCAAGGTTATAAACCGTAAGAGTATTTTTATTAAAATACGTATTATTATTACAAAAAACAAGTCGAATCTTACCGAGATGTGAAATTTATATTTTCTCTCGAATAAAATACATTTCTCTTATAGAAACTAAGGAATAGTAATAAAATGGGATGTTTCACGTGAATAAAAGCTTCCGACTAAATTGGAAGCGTTCCGTTATTAAAGTTGAAGGATTTCTGTAGGTAGGATTCTAAAGGAAATTGCTTCTATTTGTTCGGAATGCCGCGACCTGTTTATGCATTTATATTCGAATACAGTTATGGATATTGCTTCAGAAGAAGTACTGGAAATGCGCATTGAGTTCGCAAAACTATTTAATTTTTTTTGCTTTTATATCCTGTGTTCACTTAGGGCGTCAGTGAGAACGTACTTAGAGAACTGTCGTGTCGTGTCTTACAAGTAAACTAGGTCAACCTTTAACTTGATCCGAGCAGGTCAAACAATGCTCCAGGACCTATGTGCAACATCGCGCATGCTAATTTTACCCCAGATCCGATTCGTACGTATTCAAACACCGTACAATAATGTATAACCATAGCATCTTTGTTTCTCTCTTATAGCTCTTGAGGATGTCTGCTTAGAAATCCTTTTTTTTTCTACCTATGCTGATAACCATGAGAGGCTATTTCCACACTACCCTAGGGTGTAGTTAGTAGTTGAGCTCTCGAGACTCAATCCGGAAGTGTTGCTAACACTGGTCCTAGCAAGAACAGTGCTTCGCAGAATCTACCACCGGATCGGAAACGCGACCCACTGAGAAGATCCGGCGAGAGACTCAGTGGGCTGTGTCTGTGGGTTAATTTACTCGTCGAGCCCTTGCTTGCAAGCGACGGATTCGGCGAGGACGGTTACCGGACGAATTGACACATTTGCCAAATACATTGGCTACTATAAAATATAACTGGTTGAAGATTTTCCTTTCAATTTCGGTGGGTGGTGAAATCGCTAATTTTACCAAACAGTCCATTCTCGTTTCTGATGTCGCTGTAATGAAAAACGTTAATTGTCATCTGACGCGAGAGCCCAAAGGCTTAGAGTGGTAAATCCTCTACACTT